CCAGCTCTAGTTCCTGGTTTTCATGCCTTAAATATCTTTCTGCTTCCTGCCATCACTTCCTGGGATTAAAGGCGTGTGTCACTATGCCTGGCTGTTTCCAGTGTGGCTTTGAACTCACAGAGATCCAGATGGATCTCTGCCTTCGGAATGCTAGGATTAAAGGTGTGTGTGCCACCATTTTCTGGCCTCTGTATCTAGTGGCTGTTCTGTTCTTTGACCCCAGATAATTTTATTAGGGTGCACAAAATTTGGGGAACACAATATCACCATAAGAAGGAGTCCAGGAGAGTGGCTGCCTCTACTGGGTGGGAAAGAACAGCTGACAATTGAACAGGCAGGTGGTTTATATAGGATTTCTTAGGGGCAGAGTTTTTCCAGGGGAAGATTTTCTGTCCAAGGATTTTTTTTCTGCTCAGAGATTGGTTAGTTTCGTGGGTTAGGAGCAGAGATGGCCCTGATTTCAGAGCCAAACTGTGTTTCTTTCACTGGCTTTTCTTAGCTTTTTGGCTCTAATTCTAAGGCCAAGGCATATTTCTTTCACTGGCTCTGATTCTAGGGACAAAGAGTGTTTCTTTGGCACTGGTTTCAGAGTCAGGGAATGTTTCTTTGGTTCTGGGTTCAGGGATAGAGTGTTTCTTTCTCTGGCTGGGGTCCCAGATCTAGGCTGTGTTTCTTTCACTGGTTTTGGGCTCCAGGGTCAGGGTGGTCTTCTTTAGCTGGCCCTTTTCCCTACATTAAAGGCATGCACCACCTCCACCACCACCACAGGCTTCAAACAGGTCTTTTTAAATAAGCTGAACTGTAAGGCACTAAATGGTAGCTGAAATGAGCATTTTGCATTCTTAGGAGAAATGTTTACAAAGGACATTTTGGCTACCTTCCTATAAGATGGTAACCATTACAATATTGTATATAGCTAATGGTTATTAAATGCAGTGTCTGACATATGCAATAATTGAGATTAAAATTAACTGTCATTAAGTATGTTAAAGAGAACAAGAGCCAGACAAGGTGTTACGTCCCTGTAGTCCTACTTGAGACCAAGAGTTTGAGATGTGACTTCACAACATAGCAAGGTCTTGATTCGAAAACTTGGAGGTTTTTTAAGAAACAGCATAAATTATAGGTTTCCAGGATTGAACTCAGGTTCAACTGAATTGAATTCAACTTTGACAGGCATCTTTACCCTCTGAATTATCTTGCTACCTCTGAAGTTATTTTCATTCTTAAATTTGGAATGTAGGAAGACCCTGAGACACATGTTAAGATTTAGTTTTAATTAGGAGTATGAGCATGTGTGTGGGTGGGCATAAGGGTTCACATGAGTCTAGTTCCCCATGGAAGTCAAAAGAGGGTGTCAGATACCGTATTAGGGTTACCCCACTCCTGGTACCAAAATCTGTGTTAGTCAGGGTTCTCCAGAGCAGTGGTTCTCAACCTTCCCAATGCTGCGACCCTTTAATAAGCAGTTCCTCGTGTTGTGGTGACCCCCAACTCAAATTATTTTTGTTTCTACTTCATAACTGTAATTTTGCTACTGTTATGAATTTTAATGTAAATGTCTGTGTTTTCTGGTGGTCTTAGGGAGACCACTGTGAAAGGTTTGTTCAGCTCCCAAAGAAGTTGCCACCCACAGGTTGAAAACCACTGCTCTAGAGGCACAGAACTGAGAAAGAGTGTGGATGTGTGTGTGGGGGGGGGGGGATTTATTAGAATGCCTTTCAAACTGTAGTCCAGCTAGTCCAACAAGGATCCAGTAATTGTTCAGTCCATGAGGCTGGATGTCTCAGCTAGTCTTCACTACATGCCAGAATCCTACTACCAGTGAAGGAACAAAGTAGCCAGCAAGAGCAAGCAAAGAGAGCAAGTTTCCTTGGTCCATGTCTGTTATACAGTCTGCCAGCAGAAGGTGTGGCCTAGATAAAAGATCTTCCAACCTCAAAAGACTTGGATTAAAAGTGGGTCTTCCCACTTCAAATTATTTAAGAAAAATTCCTCAGCTGGATGGTGGTGGCACGTGCCTTTAATCCCAGCATTTGGGAGGCAGAGCCAGGCAGATCTCAGTGAGTTCGAGGCCAGCCTGGTCTATAAAGTGAGTGCCAGGACTGTTGCACAGAGAATCCTGTCTTAAACAAAAAGGAAAACTTCTCACAGGTATGTCTAGCCACTTGGGTTTTAGTTAATTCCAAATGTGGTCAAGTTGACAACCAAGAATAGTCATCACAGATCCCCTGGAGCTGAAGTTATAAGCAGCTGTGATCCACCCAACATTGGTGCTGGGAAACTAACTTGGGTCCTTTGCAAGAGAAGTATGTGCTCTTAACCACTAGGCCGATCCCCCTAGTCCCTGGGCAGGTAATTTTAATTTGAAGAACACCAGGTGTTGGAGATAATTTAAAAGAATAAGTTGGCCAGTCTTTTCATACTAAATTTAATTGAAGATCATAGAAAGATAAAGTAAGGTAAAGAAAGATAAATTACAGAGAATTTCCCACACAGCTTTCAGTAAATTGTGTGAAGAGTCATGGTGAGACCTGAGATTGAGTTAATGTAGTTTATTAAGTTGTATTTTTCTGCTCAGTGGATTTGTACAATATATGAGAATAATTTAGATTACCTTTAAAGAACTACTCCCTATAGAATGTGTGGTAATTACTTTTCTTCTGCAGTATACAGTTTTCTCTAATGAATAAGTAAAAGTATTTATCCCTAGGCTTTCTGTGTCCATTGGATAAGACTAAAGCTTCAAAATGATGTTCTGTTTATCTTGTAGTTGTATTTGCCAGCCAATAGGTATGCCACCAAGTAACCCAAGGAGACAAAGATCCTAATTTAAGGATAAAAACCTGAGTAATTAATGCTCTGTTTTCCTTATTTAAAAAACAACGTTTATCACTAAGAGTTAAAGGTACCTGCAAATGCACTTTCTTGCCTAGGAGATCAGCCTTCTATTCTTAGGATATGTTCTAATCTAATGAACATCTGACACAGCAGATGCTAACAAGATAAAAATATCAGTTTGATATTCTTATAGGGACCTCAGCAGTAACATTCACACACAGTGCTTTCTTTGCTCAGTGACATTGGGAATTGTATGGATTGTGCCTAATCCTGATCATTTTCAGCTATTTTGGAAAGCAGCAGAAACAAATGCTATATGCTATACCTTTGGGGACATTCCCCATGCATACATACATGGTAGGTGGGTAGAAGCATCTTTGGATGCCACAAAACAGAAACGATAAACCAGGCTTGGATAAGTATTGTGTGTTTTCTCATATATAGACTTTTCTTTTTTTTAATGATATAAAATTAGAAGAAAAGAAGGACCCAAAGGATGTGGAAAAAGAAGACAGAGTAATGAGGACATAAATATAATTAAGAACATAAGCATGCGTGAAAACAGCACAACGAAACCCATTGTTTTCTACATTTAATATATGCGAAAAAGGAAAAATAAAACATCCTGTAAGTTAACACTAGGTAGGAAAGGGGTGAGTATTGACTAGAGATAGTTACCTGGACCAGGAAAAGAGCTGCTAAAGGGACAAACAGTAGACACTTCGGGTATTGTGGGCCCTAGAGTTTCTGTTGCAGCTGCCAGCTGAATAAAAGCAGATGTGGACAGTACACACTGGGACCTGTTGCCATCTTCCAGTAAGACTTATTACAGTGAAATTGAGAATCTAGACTCAAACATGATACCAAAATTTTATTCAGGATGCCACATTCAATCTCCCTTCACTTTAAAAACATAGTTTTGGCCAGGTGGTGATGGCGCATGCCTTTAACTCACACCTTTAATCCCAGCACTCGGGAGGCAGAGACAGGTGGATCTCTGTGAGTTTGAGGCCAGCCTGGGCTACAGAGTGAGTCCTAGGACAGCCAGGGCTACACAGAGAAACCTTGTCTTGGGGGAAAAGTAGTTTTGATGTGAATAGAAACTTAGAGTGCATGTTTACCCTTCTGCTGGGTCTGCCGAAGTGGCTGATATACTCTTCTTACTGAGTGCCGGGTCGGCTTCTCCCGCTTTCGGTCTCTGTCTCTCTTTATGTCATCAGTTGCATCACTGTTGTTTCTTGAAATCACGAAACTTGAGTGTAAGTTAAATTTTCATACAACAATTATTGCTCATATCTGAAATCTACTTGTTGGTGGGTAAGTTTGTTTTATACATAATAATTAAATAAATTTCAAGCTGATTATCTTCTGTTATAGCCAGAGTAATAATAATAAACTAAAAAAAAAAAGCACATACAAAAAACAAAACAACAACAACAACAAAAAAGGCATCTTTCGCCTGGTGGTCATGCACGTCTTTAATACCAGCACGCAGGAGGCAGAGACTTCCAGATCTCTTTGAGTTGGAGGCCAGCCTGGACTACAGATCAAATTCCAGGGCAGTCATAGCTGCACAGAGAAACCCTGTCTTAAAAAAGAAAAAAAAGAAAGAAAGACAGAAAAAGGAAGAAAGAAGAAAGGAAGGCACATGGGAAGCAGATTGGCACTGTGCTCAGACTCTAAGGAACTGATTGGTGCTTGTAATCATGCAGAGAACAGCTACTTGAAGCACATAATTGTCTAAATAGTCTGCACTCAGTATGCACATACCTACGTATAGACACAAACACATACACGTACTTTAAAAGAATAAAAATAAAGGGCTTTTTTAAAATAACAATGTTTTTTTCATATTTTAGCATTATAATCTTCAAACTTCAATGACAGGGAATAGGAGACAGGGTAGTAATGATCTATCCAGATATGTTTATTTCAAAGCCATGGAACATCCAGTTATGTCCGTTCCTCTTACCCTCTGCCTTAGCTAATCAGCATTTTAAAGAAATCACTCAGTTTAAGCTGGGTGATAGTCTCAAGGCAGACATTGTATATGTGCAGTCTAGTAAGTCAACGCACCCCTGCTCTTTGTGTTATCTTTATCTGTGCTTTGTCGTTTCCAGTTTCCGTTTCTGAAAGCTTCCTGTCCTGTCTTGTTTCAGGATTACAGCTGGACAGACATTCGCTGCCCCTTTGAAAAACGAAGAGATGCAGCATGTGTGTTTTGGGACAATGTTGTATACATTTTGGGTGGTTCTCAGCTTTTCCCCATAAAGCGAATGGATTGCTACAATGTTGTGAAGGATAGCTGGTATTCCAAACTGGGCCCTCCAACACCTCGAGACAGCCTTGCTGCCTGTGCTGCAGAAGGCAAAATTTATACATCTGGAGGTTCCGAAGTAGGTAAGACACTGTTGATACTTTTATTTAACAGAAGTATTTTAATCCAAGTATCTTGGCATTTGTATTTTTCAAAAATTAGGAAGATTTGTCCAGATACTTTGAATTTAAATACATGTTTATTAACATTTTAGAGCCTATTTCCTTATATGCTTACCTTAATCCTTCAAATTATTGATAGGAGTGCCAGCATTCTGGGGCTTGAGAGATGGTGCAGTAATTAAAGGCACAAACTGCTGTTCCAGAGGACCTGAGTTCAATGCCCAGTAGCCACATCAGTTTGGCTTACAACTACCTGTAACTCCAGCTCTGAAGGGCATCCAATACCTTTGGTCTCTGTAGGCACCTGCATGCATATTCACAGACGCACATACACATTAATTAAAACTAACAAAAAATTATAATGTCATCTTTCTAGATAAATTGCCCTCTTTTAATTATGAAATGCTAGTTGACAGTATTTTAATTTTACTTGTAGAGTAGTTATTTGGGGATAGGTAATGTTATTTCTTTTGAAGGTTTGAGAGTTTGACTTAATCACTGATCCAGTAAGAATATGTTACTTGTAATCTGTATTGTCTTTGTTTCCTTTGTATCATAAGAACGAATGCTCTTTTTTTCTCCTTTCTACTTTTTGAGTTAGAGTCTTCATAGCCACGGGTGGTCTTGAACTCATCATCTGCCTGCCTCAGCCTCAGCTGGGATCACATATATGAACCACTATACCCTCAGCTCAAGAATAATTGTTTTCATTTGCTTTAAAAAAAAAAATGTAAGGAGCTGTTTGGTTGGTTGGTTGGTTTGGAGATTGGGTCTCATGTACCCAGGCTACCTTCCCACTTACTATATAGCTGAGGATGATCTTGAACTTCTGATCTTCCAACTCCACCTCCCAAGTGCTGTGATGACAAGCTTGTGCCACCATAACCACTGGTATGCAGTGCAGAGTATCAAACCTAGGACTTTGTGCTTAGTAGGACAGTTCTCTACCAACTAAGTTACATCTCCAAGACATGCTGTAAATGTTTGTGTTTATGGATCAGAGTGAGGTATGGATATAAGTATAAATACCTGTCTAATTGATCATTTTTTAGGGTCAGTATTTTCCTAAGTGAATATTCTAGGTATAGCCTAGGATTAATAGATTTTATAGATTAATAGACTAGGATATAATAGATTTTCTTTATGCTTTTCTCTTTTCAAGTAATTACTTACATAGTGGACTTCTAAGTAAAGACAAGTAAACCTAAGGCGTACATTTTTTAAAATATATTTATTTATGTATACATTATTTTGCCTGCATGTGTCCTTGCAGGCCAGAAGAGGGCACCAGACCTCATTACAGATGGTTGTGAGCCACCATGTGGTTGCTGGGAACTGAACTCAGGACCTCCGAAAAAGCAGTCAGAGCTCTTAACCACCGAGCCATCTCTCCAGCCCCTAAGTGTACATTTTAAAAGGCTCTTTATTTTTCTTTGATGACCTTTGTATTAGCTCAGAAAATATTTTACTTTGGGTTAGCATCTTATCTGTTGTACATTTTTTTTTGTTTTTTGTCTTTTTGTTCTAAGTTTTTACTTCCTTCACACCTTTAATCATAGCACTGAGGCAGAGGCAGGCATATTTCTGTAAACTCGAGACAGCCTGGCCTGCATATCAGGTCCAGGACATCCAAGGTTACATAGTGGGACCCTGTCTCAAAAAGGAAAGAAATAAAATTCCAAGGTCCTTTTTATTTTTATTAGAAAGGACAAAAGGCACTTATTCTTTAATGAGATTATTTATAAAATTCTTACTGAGCTCCTATAGCATGTAAAGGTTATAAAACAGTGAATATATGTTTTGCTCTTAAAATGCATAATTAGTGTATGAGATAGAAATACACCTTGATACCTTGATGCTATACTCAAGTAGGGACCAGGATGACTTCAGTACTTATCTGCATATAGTTTTATTAATAGGTCAGTAGCAATTATAGAATACTAAGTAAGTCTTAGAATATTGTCATGTAGTAATTTTTATATTTTAAGGTTTAGATTTACCTTAGTTTGCCAGATCTTCAAATTTTAAGAAGTGTAGCTATATTTTAAACCTTTACATTTGAAGGCTGGAGAGATGGCTCAGCAGTGAAGAGCACTGGCTACTCTTCCAGAAGACCTGAGTTCAATTCCCAGCACCCACATGGCTGCTCACACCTGTCTATAACTCTAGTTTCAGGGGATCCAACACCCTCACACAGATATACATTAAGGCAAAACACCAATGAACAAAAATAAAAATAAATTAATTTAAAAAACTTTACATTTGAAACTTAGTAATTCTTATCCTGCACAACTGGCTTTGAAGACTATATAATGGTTCTTCTGTTCTTTTGAAATCAATTTCTTTTCCTAAAATTTAATTAATAAATCTGTTCAACAGATCCTTTTGTTTTTTTTTTTTTTTTTTTGGTTTTTCGAGACAGGGTTTCTCTGTGTAGCTTTGGCTGGCCTCGAACTCACAGAGATCCGCCTGGCTCTGCCTCCCGAGTGCTGGGATTAAAGGCGTGCGCCACCACCGCCCGGCGATCCTTTTGTTTTAATGTTTTCCAAGGTCTATACAATATCACGAGGTTTTCTTAAATTATTCTAGCAAGTAGAAAAGTGATCTCTATAAACCTAAGTTCTTCCCTGTCTTCATTTAGCTCTATGGTTATTTCACTGCAAGCCCCCCACACCAAGCCGAGTATGACGAGATGGTGGTAGGACCCTTTCTTTTCCAGGGACAGTGTTGAAACAGGGTCCCACTATATCCCCTGGGCTGGCCTCACATTCACAGTCCTCAGCCTCTTAATCTGAGTCCTTTTCTTTTACAGGAAACTCAGCTCTGTATTTATTTGAGTGCTATGATACAAGAACTGAAAGTTGGCACACGAAGCCCAGCATGCTGACTCAGCGCTGCAGCCACGGCATGGTGGAGGCTAATGGCCTCATCTATGTGTGTGGTGGAAGCTTAGGAAACAATGTTTCTGGGAGAGTGCTTAGTTCCTGTGAAGTATATGACCCTGCTACAGAAACGTATGTATCGATTTTAAATGAGTCTGTCAGTGTTACTAGATTCCATAAGCTCACTGGATGAAGATGCCAAAAGGTAGAAGGAACCCACCAGAAATTTAATTCTTGTTTTAAGAATATATATATATACTTGAAGCTGGGCATGGTAGCACACGCCTTTAATCCCAGCACTTGGGAGGCAGAGGAAGGCGGATCTCTGTGAGTTTGACACCAACCTGGTCTACAGAGCGAGCTCCAGGACAGGCTCCAAAGCTTCACAGAGAAACTCTTTCTTGAAAAACCAAAAAAAAAAAAAAAAATACATACCCTTGAATAGCCTTAGGAAATACCTTGACTTTATTGTACATGGGAGCCCCTCTCTTTCTGGACCTGCTTGTTCAGTAAATATGAATGAGATACACCTGATTGGTCCATCAGACTCATGTAGGGGAGAAGGAGAGAAAACTTAGAATTAAATAATTTTGTCCTTAGGTAGCAATATTACAAATTGATTCCTGGCATTAAGCATTCTCCTAGGTATGTCTTGGGGTTCATAGCTCTCAAAATACATCTGAATTAGTATTTCTTAATAAAACTAACATTAAATCATATAGGAAGCAAATAACTTCTTTGAAAGGCAAAATGCTGAGCTGGGTGTGGTAGTGCATACCTATATGTCCAGCACTAAAAAGACTGAGGCAGGAGAATGGCCATGAGTTTGAGGCCAGAGTGGGGTATAACAAGACTCTTTGTCTGGGGGGGCAAAAAAAACAGAAGGGAAATTTTTCATTATAAAATGTAATTGATCTTCTTGTGCTTTTTATTTTTAAATGATTTAAAGAAAAATGATACCACTTTCCCAAATAAAAGGGAGGTTGCAGTTTTTTATTCTCATTTTTTGTTCAACTCATCACCAAGAACTAGCACCAAAGCCACTTGTCTTGAAATTTATTTTTTACTAAAGAAATCTCTTGGGCTCAAATGAATTGCAGTCTGATGCTTTTCAAGCCTGTACTTGTTCCAGGCCATGCTGGGATCCCATGTCCTTGTCCTCTCATCCACCACTTGAGCTGTGTATCCACTCCACTTTGTCCTAAACCACAGTCAAGGGGGTGTCCTCCCCCCTTTACAGTCTACTACCTTACCTCCTATAAATCCAGTGCTCAAAATATGTTAAGGCACTCTAATTGGAAACTGGTCTTTTTGTGCTATTGCTTTCAATTCCAAAACACAACATTTGGTTGGGGATTTAGCTCAGTGATAGAGAACTTGCCTAGAAAGCACAAGGCTCTGAGTTTGGTCCTCAGCTCTGAAAAAGAAAAAAAATTACAAAATGTGTCTTAATTAGTGTTTCTATTGCTGTGAAGAGATACCATGAGCATGTCAACTCTTATAAAGAAACATATAATTGGGGCTGGCTTACAGTTTAGAGGTTTAGACCATTATCATGACAGGAAGCATGGCAGCATGCAGGTGGATATGGTGCTGGAAAGGCAGCTGAGAGTTCTACGTTTGGATCAACAGACAGCAGAAAGAGAGAATGATACTGGGCTTGGTTTGAGCATCTGAGACCTCAAAGCCAGTGACATATTTCCTCCAACAAGGCCGTACCTCCTAATAGTGCCTAATAGTCTCTATGGGCCTATGGGGACCATTTTCATTCAAACCACCACAAAACGCAACCCATAATTGTATATATTCTAGACTTCTAAATCTTTATTCAGGTCTTTATTCAAGCAAGATCAGTGCTAAGCCACTATACTCTTATTTACAGTAGGAGGGAAACAATTAATGAAAGAATTTGTGGGACTGGGGTGATGGCCCAGCATCCAGGTAAAAACCAGGTGTGGCTTCCTGTACCTGTAACCCAATAGTGTAGAGGTTACAGAGACAGGTTATCTTAGTTAGGGTTTCTATTGCTGTCAAGAGACACCATGACCACGGCAACTCTGATAAAGGAAAACATTTAATTGGGGTGGCTTACAGTTCAGAGGTTCAGTCCATTATCATCATGACGGGGAGCATGAAGGCAGACATGGTGCTGAAGAAGTAGCTGAGAGTCCTACATCTTGCAGGTAACAGGAAATGGTCTGAGACACTGGACGGTATCTTGGGCACATTGAGACCTCAAAGTCCACCTCCACAGTGACACACTTCCTCCGACAAGACCACATCTACTCCACAAGGCCACACCTCCTAATAGTGCCATTCCCTTTGGGGAACCATTTTCTTTCAAACTACACACAGGTTGATCCCAAGAGCTGATTGACTGACTGACCAGTGAGAGACCCTCTTTCAAGACAGATAAGGCAAAGAGTTATAAAGGAAGACAGCTCTGGCCTCTGCATTTATATGCACACAGGCCCTACCCATACACAAGTTTTAAAAATAAATACAAAGAAAAGGAAATCTGTAATCTCAGTATTTTTTTAAACTAACTGAATATTCAGTTTTGAGAATATGTAAAAACTTGGAAGATTTAGCACCTCTTTTGTTATATTGGACTTGTGTTTTAAATTTGTATTCTCAACATTCTGTTCATTATTCTTTAACTTTCATAAATAAAATGTTATCTGGGTTTGTTTAGTGAACAAAGATGGCTCAGTGTTTAGGAACACCAAGTGCTCTTCCAGAGGATCCGGGTTCAGTCCCCAGCCTCCCCTCTCCCCCATGGTAGCTCACAGCCATCTGTGTCTCAAGGTCCAAGGGATCCAGTACCCTTTTCTGACCTTGGACACTAGGCACAAGTGTGGTGTACAGACATACATGCAGGCAAAACACACAGATATAATAAAATAATAAACCTAAAAAGAAAAACTAAACACTGAAGCTCCAGGTTGGAAACTGAAAAGTAAAATGCACACTTTACATATACACTACACTTTACATGTACACTACACTTTACATGTACACTATCTGCATCACTTCTACACTCTCTGAAAAGTGGAATGCACACTTTATTTACATGTACACTATCTGGATTTTCCAGCCCAAATATTTTTCATAATACACAGTGACAGCTTACAGTGTGGAGTGACCAGGAAGGAGCTGTACTTACTGTTCCTGTTTCCAAGCTGCAAGCTTGTCATTTCACCTGGGTAAGCACACACACACACGTATGTGTATGTGTGTTTCTTGAAAAACAGGACTATTATGGCCTCCGTAGTGGTTGATGGCTGAGAAACCATTTTTAAGCAAAACAAAAAACATCAATACAAGACAACAGAAAAATTGTTAATATTTCAGTTGATTATAGGCCTTGAATATGTCATAAAATTAATCCAGTTTTTTAAAAGTTTAAAATAACCACCTTAAAAAGTATTTATGCCAAGTTTTCTGTTGTTTGAAGTCTTGTGGTGTTCGCCATTAAAAGACCACAAGCTATGTACCATTAGCACCCTCAGAGTCATGAGTGTTGGCTATGTAGGTGTACACAGAAGAAACCACTATCAGAAGTCACCACCTCGGTGGTCTGTGTTAGTTATGTGTAAATAATGCTACCATGTTAGTATACTTCAACAGTGTCTACATTGGTGTTCTCAATTTCACTGAGTAGTGGTTGTGTGGTAGCAAGTTACTTGGACCAGCAAATGGTGCTCGTGCATGTGCGCTCACTGTGTGTGTTTGTGTGTGTGTGCACCAGACTACCTAAAGTTCTCACTGTACATCTATATATGAAGACATGGTGATAACACACACCTATAATCCAGCAATCTGGGAGCATGAAGTAGGTAGATCTCAGTTTGAGGCAAGCCTGAGCTGCACAGTGAGCCTTTGTCTCTAAAATAAAATAGTAAAATAACAACAACAATGACATGTAACTAATAAACACACAAGCCTATAATCTGAATTTGGGGGGCAATTGGAACAGGAAGATTACTGAGAGTTTAAGTCCAGCCTGGGCTACATGAGCAAGTTTCAGGTCACCCAGGGCTAGATAGCAAAACTCTATCTCAAACCCCTCAAAATACTGATTTATTCATTGTATGAGGTTTGTTATGCGGTTTTGTTTTACTTAAGCAGAAATAACTAATTTAGAAGCACATGTAGCTGAGCATGGCAGCTCCGGCCTATGATCCTGGCCCCTGAGAGGCAGAGGCAGGAGGGGCATCACACACTCACAGCCAGCATCACCTACGTGCGAGTTCTCGTTGTCTGGCTACAGAGAGAGGCCCTGTCTCACAAAGAAAAAAGGGAGATAATTGAAGATTTATACTCTTCCTCTTTACTCTTGTTGCCATTTCAAAGATTATTGGAAATTGGGAAATGGATTTCTTTAAAAGACACATAAATTGTTTCCTTCTGCTTAAAGTCCCCAGTTTACCTCACCTATAAAAACATTATCCAAAACCACATGAGTGTTTTCTAGCCTTCCAGACATCTCAGGTGTATATATGTATGGAACATGGTAGTCAATGAACATTTGTTTAGGATAACAGGCCTGTCCCATTAAAATCACTTTATTTCTTGTAAATAAGCACACTAAAACTTCTTTCCCCACAGATGGACTGAACTGTGTTCAATGATTGAGCCCAGGAAGAATCATGGACTGGTGTTTGTAAAGGACAAGATATTTGCTGTCGGTGGCCAGAATGGTTTAGGTATATGATGTTAACTTACACTTCAACTCCCCTGGGTTTACTAATAATTTCTTAAATTATGGGAGCGTTTCGTAAAATTGAATCATTTGCAATACAGAGCATTATGTCTTAGCATCAGCATGTGTTATGAAATGTCAGGCTGTCATTGTGACTACCTCAGACAGGCTTGTGCCTTTCTCTATGCCCACAGGGGTGCTTTCACATCTGCCTAAGGAGTACTGAGCACTTGAAGAATGTGAATGTTTTTAAAAAATATTTACTAGCTTTTCAACATTCTAAACACTGCATGAGAGTCTCCTTACGCTTTGTTTGGCCTTTTCATTTTCTTAAGTAATGCTAATAAAACTAAATCTAAAGATGGTACTTCATTTTATTAGCTTATCTATGTGTTAAGTAAAACAAAGAAATAATTTCTTTGGTCCTCTCCATAAATTGCTAAAAGATAGAAGAACATTTGGAATAAGTCATAATCAAAGTAATGAGAAAGTAAACTGCTGGTCCTTTTTTGTTTTCTTTTCCAGGAAAGAACATTTATAGGAAATGTTTTTGTCTTTGTTTTTGTTTTTTTAACCTTTAACTTTGTAGGAAAAAAATGATTCTGAAAAATTATCTATTTCTTTTAAGAATAAGTATTTAGGTAGTGGATATGTGGGTAATGATTATAAAGCTCTTATATCCTATGTGTTTTACAATTTTATTTTGCAATGAAATGTAAAAGTTAAAAAACTATGAAGAGATCCAAGAATCACTGATAGAATTCTCCTATTTTCTTTTGAAGGTGGTCTGGACAATGTGGAATATTACGATATTAAATCAAATGAATGGAAGATGGTGTCACCGATGCCGTGGAGAGGTGTAACAGTGAAATGTGCAGCAGTTGGCTCGATCATCTATGTGCTGGCAGGTTTTCAAGGTGTAGGTAGATTAGGACACATCCTGGAGTATAATACTGAGACAGACAAATGGATTGCCAATTCCAAAGTCCGGGCTTTCCCAGTCACAAGTTGTCTGATTTGTGTTGTTGATACTTGTGGAGCAAATGAGGAGACCCTTGAGACCTGAGTGATGAGTAGACTCCGCACTCATCCGAGACAGAAATCTGGCCACCCATGCTTTGTTCCAGTAGTTTGGTTATGAAGTTCTGGTCTGATATTTTGATAAGTAAGATTCCAATAAAATAAGTTTATTTTATTTGGATTTCCTTACTTAATTCAAAGACCATATTTTAGCTGGCCATATAACCAAGAACCTACCAGCCAGAAAACTTGAAAAGTTTTGAATTTCAATATGAATTCAAATATGAATTTCAAATATATAACTGATTCTGGCAGAGGGGGGCATGCTCACCAGAGAAGTGGCCCAAGCTTAGCTTTAGACTCTATTTTCATATTGTGTAAGTGCTGTGTAGTTAGGTCTGTTTGTTTGTTTGGTCGAGAACTAAGTGGTAGTATGGATTATAATTACCGAGAAGGTAACTGTAGTATTATGTATTTTGCTTGTCTTCATTTATCTCATTTAGTGCCAAACTATTCCATTTTAAAGTAAGCAAGAGCAGCTCAAGGCATACATATTTTCTCACAAAACTTCACAGATTTGGAGATTGAACACCATACCCAATTATTCATGAAATATATTCAGTGGAATAAATGAATTATTTCATATTTTCATGTAAAATATTAAGCTTAGCACGCATCATTAATTTATATGGTTTTACTCAGCAATGTAAAAAGTGCTCTGTACCCTCAGTCCTTACTGTGAGAGCCAATCAGAATAAGCGTGGTTAACCTGCAACAGAAGAAAAGCTGTTTAAGATATTCTAGATCACTAGAAAAGTATTGAAAACTGTAGCCCAGTATTGTGTGGATTTTAAAAGATACTGTTTTTTCTTTCTCCTAATCTCTCTAAAAGTTTTATAATTGGCATTAAATATATGTCACTGTTTATTGCTTTTATGTGGACAACAAATTACCAAACCACTTATTAATTTTTTTCCCAGTGTTTTACCCTTTGACTGTGTATGAAATGTGCCATGTAAAACTGTCAATCATCAATGTTTTTATCTGATATTAAATATTTTTAACTTAAAATAGATTTGCTCTGTTTATTCATTCTAAGTGTGTTCTTTAATGTTTTTAAAATTTGTGAAAGTGTTTCTATTTTTAATTTTTCTCTATATGGAGGTTATAATAGACTAAAATGTTTAAATTAAAAATGAACTTGAAAAATATGAGATTTATCTGTTGAGTTTTTATGTACAGACAGCTCTATTGAGATGTAATCCATAGGTGTGGGAGCCCGTTCTGGGGGGTTCCTCGTGGCTTTACCCAGCAGGTCCGAATAGAGGATGATCAGGACCACGGTCCTGAGTGCAGGTGTCTGAGATGGTCTGCACTTGGCTGTGCTGGGGGAGGAGGTCTTTTGCTCCACCCCTTGGCGTCTCTATAAAAAACCCTGGGCCAGAGACAGTCGGGGGCCGTTGGAATAGGTTCCAGGTCCTCTCGAGGCTATCCTTTATTTTCTATCTGTTTATCTCCGCAAGATTCTCTGCTATAAATCCTTCTATCTAATATTTCCTGCTGATCGCACTCAAGAAAACTCTGGGAAGCTGTGGGGGTGGTGGGTAAATGCCCCACAGAATGGCGCCCGAACAGGGACTAAAGAAAAAAAAAGACCTCCTCCCCCAGCACAGCCAAGTGCAGGCCATCTCAGACACCTGCACTCAGGCCCGTGGTCCTGATCATCCTCTATTCGGACCTGCTGGGTAAAGCCACGAGGAACCCCAGAACAGGACAGGCTCCCACACATAGGCATACAATTCATCCATTTAAACTGTACCATTTAGTGGCTTTTACTATATTCAGAGTGTGCAGTCCTCAGAGTTTTAGAATGTTTTCATTACCCCTCCGAAAGAAACCCTGTACGTACTAGTAATCACTCCCTCTGTTTCCCGTGTGTTAGCTTTCTAGACTGCTACAAACTACCACATACTTAATGGCTGAAAACAAATGTATTCTCACTGTTTAGGAGCCCAGGTGTTCCAAATCTGACTTTTGGAGGACTGGGCAAAACCACCACACCCTCTCCTCTCTGCTGCTGGTTGCCAGTCGTCCCTGGCATTTCCTTGTCAGCCTATAACTGCATTGCACAGTCTTCTACCTTGCACTTCTCATGGCCATTTTTTTCTCTTGTGTAAGTATCTTCACATAGTTCTTTTATAAATACAGCAATCAGTTGGGCTCTGTTACTTTTTTTACTTATGTGTATGAATGTTTTGTCTGTATACATGTATACCATGTGTGTGCCTAGTGCCCACAGAGGTCAGAAGAGGGGGTCAGATCCCCTGAAACTGGAGCTATAGACAGTTGTGAGCTACCATGTGGGTACTGGGAATTGAACGCAGGTCCTCCTGAATAGCAGCCAGTGCTCTTAACCTTGGAGCCATCCCCAGCTGGCCTGGAAACAAGATATCCACCTGCCTCTGCTTCCCAACTGCTGAGACTAAGGAGATGTACCAACACATCAGATGGGCTCTGGTACTGAGAGTCTTAACTATACCAAAGACTTAAGAAAATCCAATTTACTTCATCCAATATGACACCAAACCAGTTCTCACTAAACCTCAGTAAACTGGGACTATGAAAGGGCATTTCACTGGCTGCAGCGTTTAACACTTGGTTGATCCTTTTGAATACCTTGTTTCCTCCAAAGATTTTTTTAAAATTTCACTTTGATCTTCCTAGTGTTCCTCCTTTTTATAACATACAAACTAATTTAGTGGGGGGGGGGTGTTAAAAAGTAGTTTGAAGCGAGTGTGGTAGCTCACACCTTGGTAGGCTGAAGCAGGAGGATGACTAACTTTGAGACCAGCCTGGGTTATAACTACATAGAGAGCTGTGTAGAATGTGCTCATACTCTTCCTATTACTGAGATAAAACCTGGCAAAAGCAACCTCAGGAAGTGGGTTGCTTCTGGCTCACAGTTTTAAGGGTACAGTCCATGGCAGCCTGGAAGGGATTTCAGCAAGAACATGAGGCAGCTGGTCACATTGCATTGCAGTCTGGAAGCAGCAATGGATGCTCAACTCGAATTTGCCCTTTTATACGATGTGTGACCCCTCTCCATAAATGGTGCAGCCCACACTCAGGGTGTCTTCTCTCCCGCTAAACCTTCCTAGAAGCATCCTCACAGACATGTCTTGAGGTGTGTATCTATGGGGATTCTAAATCTAACACCTCAAAATGCAGAGATATGTGTCTATGGTGATTCTAAATGTAATCAGCTCGACAAGATTAACCATCACAAGTGTTAAACTTACTAACTAGAATTTTGCTTGCAAAGTTAATATATGGAATGTGCCAGGTGTGTTTGATCCTAGCACTTGGGAAGCAGATAGGTAGGTCTCTGTGGGTTCAAGGCCAGCCAGGGCTACATAGTATGATTGTATCTCAAAAAAAAAAAAGAAAGAAAGAAAGAAAGAAAGAAAAGGAAGAAGAGGAGGAAGAGAAGAAGTAGTAGAAGAGGAGAAATGGAATGTTTTCAGAAAACCCTTATTTGAAGCTGTGCATCTAAAAAAAAAAAAAAAGTGGGCTGCTTCTGTGTCAGCTGTCCAAACAATTTTCATTATTCTCGATAAAATTTCAAAAGGCAATATTTACGTGAAATTTTGCGAACAGGATTTCTCAGTGTGCAGGAAGACAGTATCAACCAAGGAGCTACTCTACTTTTCGCCTGCAGTGCGTCCGTTTTCTGGTTACAGCCGGCTTTCTCTGAGTCGTTCTTTTTATGAGCCCGTTTTTACTTTTTTTTTTTTTTTTGGCTAAATAAATGTAACGAAGGACTGAGCCTCGCAAACTACACCCAACCAGAGCCTTGGTGTTTATCTGCTTTATCAGGCACCCTGTAGATACGGGTCGGTCCCCGGGTCCAACGCCCGACGCCCTTTTCAACACCTCGCTTTCTCAGGCCCTCTTGACACGTGAGTTGGCAGGTCGGCTCTCCTCACATCCTATTGGCTAAAGCCCACGCCTCTCACCGCGTGGGGGGCGGGTCACAGAACCTCTGGGCGCGGGGGGATGACGTCACGTCGGCGACGGGGCTTCGGTTGAAAACCGGCCGTCCCTGCTGACTTGAAGACCGCGTAGCTGGGACGGCGCTACGATGACCATTTGCCAGTTTTTCCTTCAGGGCCGGTGCCGCTTCGGAGACCGCTGCTGGAACGAGCACCCTGGCACCCGGGGCGCGGGCGTGGCCCGGCAGCCGCCACCACAGCAGCCGCCGCCGCCCTCAGGTGACGCTCCCGGAGCCGCGAGCCAGGGTCCCCAGATGCGGACGCTCACCCCACCCCAGTTAGGGTAGTCGTTTCGGCCGATCAGACAGGGACAGGGCTTTGGACCTGGGTGCTCGTACCAAACACTGCGTTTTTAAATTCGTATATTTTATCAAAACCACTTTGTTGGTGAAAGGCAGTGGTTGGGAGAATTCGCGTGGGTCCGTCCAGACTTACTGCTCTACTTTTCCCTTCCTTGTCCTTGACCGCATGCTCTTAAAATTTGGGCTTTAGTTAGTAGGGTGGGACGCTGGGCTAAGAACCTTACAGGTTTTGAGGAAAGAGTATTCAGGGGCCAGTCATTAAACCTCCGGTACAACACAGAGTTTTAAAAGTCAGAGTAATATATTTTGTTTTCTTAGTTTTGGATCTTAGTTTTTGACGTTCATCACTGGTTGCTTCTCTTTCCTTCGTCTTTAAGCCTATCCAATCCCCATGGTTGCATGGAGGAGACAGATTGTGTCATCCATCTACAGTTGATTAGGGAAATACTCCAAAAGTTAGGACTCACATTCTGGTAAATCCTGGTGTGTTCCCAGGGACTGCTGAGAGTAATGTTTGTCGTGTCGTCTCTGGAATCCTACTTTAAGTGTAGTAATTTGGAAGTAAACGTTCAGTAGATAAATAATTGGATGAAAAAATACAAATAAAACTTTAGGATGAAAAGAAAGAAAAAGAATGCTTTGGAGTTTCAAGGCCAAAATTAGGGCCATCCAGTGCAGCATAAAGGAAATTCATTTCTATGCTGTGTGATTCCCCCCTCCCTTTACACACACACACACACACACACACACACACACACACACACACACAAAAGATTTGGAACTTCAAAACAAAATGCCATTAATTCATACTTCAGAAATTCATGGTTCAGCTGTCTCTTCCATTTTCTATTTCTCTTTGGATTTATGAAGTAGTTCAGAATATGGGTACACTTATCGTTAGGTTTTTAGTATATGTTAAATGATATATTTTCCAAATCAATCATAAGATAATTACCTTCATCCTAGCCTCAACTACGAAGTGATAAAATTAAAAACAATATGAAAACCAAAAAGAAGTCCTATTGACTCATTTTTTTATATTTATGAAGTGTTAGAAATCTGCCCTGTACTTTATCCACCTATTAGTGAGCTCTGTAACCTCCATATGAAAGGTAAGTATGTAGGTATTGCATCCACAGAGGGAAGACTGAGACAAATGGCCTTTAAATATCTGTTAAGGACAGATGGTAAAGTTTAGTCCTTTTTATTGACCAGTGTATTCATTGTTCTCTTTCATCCATTGTCTGTGAAGAAGCAAATTAATGGAAACACAGCTTTTCCCAAACATACACCCAGCGCTAGGTCAAATCAGGGGCCTTGAGCATCCTAAACAAAGGCTCTTCACTAAAGAAGCTTGGGACTTGTATCTTCTGTTCATAGGCAGGTTAATAGGCTTATAAAAGCTGAACTCAGCAATGTATCTCTATTTTCCTATGGACTTCTAATTCTCTTGATCTCATCTTTTAAAATTTTTATTTTATGTGCATTGGTATTTTGCCTACATGTATATCTCTGTGAGAATGTTGGATCCCCTGGAACTTGAGGTACAGCTGTGAGCTGCCATGTGGGTGCTGGGAAATGAGTCCAGCTCCTCCAGAAAAGCAGCCAGTGCTCTTAACTGCTGAGCCATCTCTCCAGCCCATTGATGTCATTTTTGTTGTTGGTGGTGGTTGGTTGGTTTGGTTTTTGGGTTTTTGTTTTGTTTGTTTGAGATAAGGCCTCACTATGTAGCCCTGGCTAGTCTAGAACTCACAGAGATCTGCCCATCTCTGCCTCCACAGTGCTGTGATTAAAGTCATACACCAACACACCTGGCCTTGACCTCATTTTTTTCAATGCAATTAGGACATGTGATTTGTTATAACATGTAAAAAGCTGTAAAGCATAAAGAGATTCTCATTTAAAAACAGTAGAAAATAGCACTTTATTAGCATTTGTATAATTTCTAGAAATAATAAGATGAAATGTAATGGAGATTTCCAAGATTTGAAAAAGTTACCAATTTTACAATTCTTTTTCTGGATTATTTTAGGAAGCAACAGGCGCGGGTGGAATGCCACCAGCCAGAGGTACTCCAATGTCATCCAGCCATCCAGCTTCTCCAAGTCTACGCCATGGGGTGGCAGCAGAGATCAAGACAAACCAGTATTCGGCTCCTTTGACTCTGGCGCTTCCACCAGCAGAGGCTTTGGATCATCTCAAAACCCTTTTGCATCACCTGTCTCTGATGAGCAGAAAGATGAAAAAAAACTTCTGTAAGTTAAAGTTTTGTAGAAAGTCACCACCCAATTGCTTGGTTTTTCTAGAAGCACTTAGTGTTTTCTTTGAAAAAGAATAATACTGAAAACCAGAGTAAGCAAAACTGTATTAGCACATTTCAAAGGCTGGTCCTGCTTACAAGGTCAGAACAACTGTGATCCTGAAGATTACTGGTAAGAACGCTTATTTTTCTTTGTAAAACTTTTACTTCAGTTACCCTATTTGAAGTTCCATAAACAGTGGATTTCTATGGGGTTTTTTGGTGGTGAGCAGGGGTTGTTTTATTTTAAGACAGGGTCTCCCTTCGTCACCTTGGCTGGCTTGGAACTCACATCTCATTATCTGTGCCTCTAGAGTGCTAGGATTAAAGGTGTGTGCCCAGCTATTGGTTTTTGAAATGATGAAGATTGAACCTAAATTTTTAAGTGTATTGGGCAAGCATTGAGAGAGAGAGAGAGAGAGAGAGAGAGAGAGAGAGAGAGAGAGAGAGAAGAAGGCAAAGTTCTGTTTATTGTGATTCTAAGTGTAATAGCATATTCTCTGTGATACCTATTGGTTTACTAATGGTCACATGGTAGATGGAAAGAAACTTTAATCTAGAGTCAACTCTATCCGCAGCTTTGTTTCGGATTAATTGTTAAATGCATGGACCTGGAGACTGGAGAGGTGGGTGGCTCACAGGTTAAGAGTATTGGTTGTTCTTCCAGAGAACCTGGGTTCAATTCCCAGCACCCACATGGCAGCTCACAACTGTCTGTGACTAGTTCCAGGGGATCTGACACCCTCACACAGACATACATGGCAGGCAAAACACTGAAGCACATAAAATTAAAAATAAATGAATTATTTTTAAAAACATATTTTTAAAGTGCATGAACCTGTTTCCTGTATTACAAAGTAAAAAAATTAAGTAAAATATTTCTGAAGTCCTATAACCCACTCTTAAATTTTAATGCTTCTCCATAACTAATAGTAGTACATTTTGTTGTTCCCAGTTAACAATTGTGGTACTTAATTCTTTAAAAAATATTGTATTTCTGATATTGTGTATTGTATTTAGTTTTTTAAAAAATATTGCATTTTAGATAATTCTTTTTTTTTTTTTTTTTTTTTTTTTT